TTGTGTGAGTACGGTAAGATTAAATTGAATTGTTGTATTGATTGCAATTTCACTTGACTTGGTGTTGCAACCTTATATGCGTGGAAACTGTGTCTCAAATTGATCAATGTGCTATTCTTGATAATTTGAAAAGGTGCAAGGACTATAAATCATGTATCGAAATGCTTAGACCTTATATTGCAATTGAAGTGTGTTGTTGTGCTATTTACATGAAGTCTCATCTACGCCTACAACCTTATTTGCTCTTGTGTGCCATACTCTCTTGAATTACAAACCTAATGTTGAAAATGGGAATAATGTGAAATGTGAATTGTGGCCCCAAGTGTCGGTAAAATAATACATGTGTAACCAAAGATTGGAGTGAGATGAATAATGGAAAATGGTAACGCCTCGGTAAGGTGGCCTAGTTGATCGGGCCGTGATCGGACGCCATGATATATACACATGGCGGTTATGCATTGATGATTGAAACTGGAAAGTGTGAATAGAATATTGGTAACGTCTCCGGGAGACGGCCTAGCCGATCGGGTCGAGATCAGACTCCGCTCAAGATAGCGGTGATAATGTGAACGATGTGGAATAGTATGAAATGTCCAACTAAAGGCTATGGAAACATGATGTGAAGATTGTGTAATTCTTTCATGTTGATAATGTTGTGATCATTTAAAGCTTTGGAGTGATACCTGTGATTTCCTTATTTGTGTAAGAAAGTTCTTTCTAATTTGATGGTGTTTAGTTATACATACTAGTACTATTCCATGGTACTACTGTCCCTTTTTCCGGGGGCGCTACATTTTTTTTAAATGAATGTAGGTGGCACCATAGCGGATAGTGCTGGTCGTGTGTAGCGAAGCATCCCTCTTCTCAAGATCTTGGTGAGCCCCTTTCTCCTTCAAGGGGCTATATTGTATATCTTTGTATTGTGGACTTTCACTTTTGAGGTATAGCCGGGGCCTTGTTGCCGGCGTTGTCAAACTCATCTTTTGTATCCTAAAGGCTTGGATGGGTCTACGAACCATGTTCCCTATAAATTGTAACTCTATGGGGATCTTGGAAACTAACTCATCTATGGTTTAATGTGGTGTTTAAAATGGACTATCAATGTAGAATGTGCTGTCTTTCCCCATCTATCCAAGTTCCTTCTGATTTACATTCAACTTGTTACTTCTTCTTGCTATAACACCACAATTCCTCAACTCAGACTCACCACACGAGACCCAAGAATAAAACCACACCGTCTAAGGCTTATAAGCCGCCGGATACTCTCTTAAATATTCCAAAATGCACTACATTCAAAATACCTACCCTGAAGTGACTCCATGCAAACCCCAAAGCCATTACCTTCACCTTCCTGATGCTGATATATAGAATCCCATAATGATATAGAAATACCACGAGTCTTGACACCCTCCAATGCAAACCTCAGTTTCTAGCCAAATATACAACTTGAAAATCTCCAATTATTACATGTAAAATCTTGAATCCATTAGAACCATTCTCGAGAGTCATCCACTCTACTCAAATCGTAATTAGACCGATCAAACAGACGGGACGACCTGTGCTCCAATAGCACTCCAACACCGCGGAGTGTAACCTCACCTTAATGCAACTAAGCAACTTCCTATTCTATGCACCGTACATCCTTTACCAATAACAACTCAAGTCATTCCATGATTCTCATACACCCATAAAGCATAGCATAACCTTTATTGAAATTTCCTTTACTCGAGCCATCCTTGGTCTCAACCTCCGTAAGCCATAACTGATTCACCAGTACGCCTCAAACTGGAACCAACATAGCATATAACTGTGCAACCAACTAATCAATAACAAACTCCCCCACTTGGCTCAAAGACATAGATCAAAACACACAATAACTCATAATGCATATACTCTATTACTGACATAATACCATAGTGAAATTAAACTCAATCCTTCATAATCTTGTGCAACATAGACCATCTAGTACTTCAAATCATCTGCAAATCTCGCATTCACCCTCGTAATAGTCAAGCCCACTCTCTTAAGCGACCCAAATTCAAATTGCAACACATATATTTCACTAGTAAAAGAGATCTTCCAACAAACAACATAAGGATCACACAAACTTCAGAACACTCCGCAGGAGATAACCCACCTGCTTCGCCTGAAACTAACATCTCTTTATACCCTTCCACCTTCATAAATATTACGTAGTCACTTAATCTTCCTGAATCTGAACTTATATCATAACGTAAAATCTACTTCACTTCCCAACTAGGCAACATGAAAAGATCCTTCAACACACCCACAACTCAGTGCTATACATCAAATCACGATGGAAATCAAGCACCAGATAGATCTTGCTACCCCATAGAAGACCCTCCTCGTCTCATTCAATTCATATGAACACATCTTGCAGTCACATCACACTCATCACATAACTATCCAGTCATCACTTCCCTTAATAGGGATGCTATCAAACATATAAATCCAAAAACACGCGCTTGCACAATCAGCAGCTAAGGGCTCAAGCTACATCCAAGGCCCGGCCTCAAGTCCTCCAAACTGGCCCAACATCAACACACAGAGATCACATCTCGCCCCTCGATCAAGGAATCACAAGCAGTCGATGCACAACCAATATCGTGCGCTCATGCACGCATACGAACGCGTGGAAGGAATTCAAAGAGTTACATTTCAAGATGAATCAAGGGCGCGCGATAAGAATTCAAGAATGTGATGTTTTTCCTAAAGGTTCTATAGCCTCCCGAGGATAAGTACAAACGTCTCCGTACCAATTCGCGAGACTCTACTAAACCTGCTCATGACTCGTGAGACCTATGTAACCTAGGCTCTGATACCAACTTGTCACGACCCCAAAACCGACCCGGTCATGATGGCGCCTATCGTGAAACTAGGCCAGCCGACACAAATCTCGAATTAACCATTTAATCAATAAAAATAATTTTAAGCCTTTAATTAATTAGATATCTCATAATGTAAGTCTAAATGAACAGTGCAGAATAAATACACAAGCCCGACATCGGGGGATGTCACAAGTCACGAGCATCTACTAAGGTCTGAATACAACAAAGAGTCTACAAATGTACTAAATAAAGACTAAGGAAGACAAGAGGGAAAAAAGTAGTGTTGCAAACATCGGGCAACTACCTCTCTAACTCTGATGACTCTGCCACTAAGCAATCAGCACCCGCTATCGGATTCAGAAATGCCTAAATTTGCACACAAGGTGCAGGGAGTAATGTGAGTATGCCAACTCAGTAAGTAATAAAAGTAAATGAAAGTCGAGTAGTAAGAAAACACATAAATCACGTCATAACACTACAACAAATGTAGATTTTTTCCAAACCAGTACACAAATCATTTACTTCGTAACTCAAGCCCAGTTTTAGTAAAAATCCATTAAAATAACTTTTAATGGTTTCAAATGAGTGGTAAAATAGTGAGTATAAATGATAGAAAACGTAAATAGCCCCTCGAACAAAACATGTACCATAAACAGCCCCTCGGGCATAATATGAACAGAACCATCCCCTCGGGTTACCTCACAATCACTCGTAATCAGCCCCTCGGGCATAACATGAATCAAGAACAGCCCCTCGGGCAACAACATGAAACAACAATAGCCCCTCGAGTTACATCATATCACTCACACTGGGTACCCGCGCTCACTGGGGGTGTACAAACTCCGGGAGAGCTCATGGCGTAACAAATTAGGCCCTCGGCCTCATAATCATAAATCAGTACCACACTGCTGCGGCGCGCAGCCCGATCCCATAATATCCTCACAATACAGGCCCTCATCCTCACTCAGTCAGAAATCTCTCATGCCACTCGGGAAACAGTAAAACATGATGCTCAACCCAAAATATTATTTAAATATAAAAACGGAGTAAATATGGCTGAGTTATGAAAATAGTAGAATACAAAATGATTGAGTACAAATATGAAGTCAAAATAGTGAAGAATAGTAGTAAAAATCCCTAAGGGTCCCAAACAGTTCGCACGAGGCCCAAATATGGCATTCAGCCCAAAACATGATAATACTTTTCAAAACACAATGATATCAAATAGTTTTCAATCCAATACGCAGTTTAACAGTCATACAGGATGAACTAAGTCACAATCCCCAACGGTGCACGACCCCACGCTCGTCATCTAGCATGTGTGTCACCTCGAAGTAGCACAACAATGTGAAATCCGGGGTTTCATACCCTCAGGACAAATATTTATAATCATTACTTACCTCAAATCGGTCCAAACTCTAGCCCGTGATGCCTTTACCTCTCAAATCGACCTCCAAATGCTCCAAATCTAACCATAATCAATATATTATCATCAATATACGCTAAAGGAACAAAGCCCAAGCGAAAATAATAAAATTAACTCGAAAATCCCGAAATTGGCTCAAACCCGACCCCTAGGCCCACGTCTCGAAATCTGATAAAAATCACAAAAATGGAAAACCCATTCGCTCACGAGTCTACTCATAACAAATTCACCAAAATCCGACATCAAATGGCCATCCAAATCCCCAAAATTAACTCTGCAAACCTTCCTCCATTTTCCCCAATTTTTACCCCAAATTCTCAAATTAAATGATAAGAATCAAGACATAATCATGAAATTTAACCAAATTTGAGTAAAGAACACTTACCCCAATCAATCCTCTGAAAATCCCTTCAAATATTGCCTCAATCCGAGCTCCATAGCTCCAAAAATGCAAAAATGGCTAAAATCCTCGAAATAGAGTACTTTATATCTGCCCAGGAATTTACCCTATGCTATCGCGGACAAACTAATGCGATAGCGAAACACAAAATTTTCCAGCACTTCTTTTACCCTATGCGATCGCGGCCATTCCCCCGCGATCGTGTAGAACAAATTTTTCCAACAACCTTCTCCAACTCTTCTGGACAGCCTCTAGTATAATGGTCATAAAGTTTTGTACAAAACTCAAAATAACAATTGGTTTAACTTTCTGAAAACTAGACATCAAGGGCTACAACGTTTATTGTGGATCATCTTCAAATTCCTTATAGATTGTGAGATATAAGCTTCCAAAATTGGGTCAGTGCAGTAGAGATTTTACTCTATGCGATCGCGGGAAGACTTACGCGATCGCATAGCACAACTCCGTTTTTCCAAACTTTCTTTATGCTAACACGGTCAGATCTATGCTAACACATTGTACACCCCTGATGCCAAAAACCAGCAACTAGAAATGGCCTAGAAATGGTCGGAAACCACCTCAAAACTCACCCGAGGCCCTCGGGACCTCAACCAAACATGCTAGCACATCCCATATCATCATTCAAACTTGTTCCAACCTTCAGAACACTCAAAACAACATCAAAACATCAAATCAACCACATATTCAAGCCTAAGAACTCCAAAAACTTCCGAATTTCGCTTTCGATCAAAAAGTCTATTAAACCTCGTCCGAATGACCTGAAATTTTGCACACACATCATAAATGACACAACAGACATACTCCAACTTCCGGAATTCCATTCCGACTCCTATATCAAAATCTCACCTATCAACCGAAAAATGCCAAAATTCCAATTTCGCCAATTCAAGCCTCAACCTTCCACGGACCTCCAAAATACATTCCGAGCATGCTTCTAAGTCCCAAATAACCTAACAGAGCTAACCAAATCATAAAAATTCCAATCTGAGATCATATACTAACAAGTCAAAACTTGGTCAAACATTTAAGATTTTAAGCTTCAAACGGAGAACTGTTCTTCCAAATTCATTCTGATTACCCTGAAAACCAAAACCGACGATTTACATAAGTCATAATACATCACACGGGGCTAGTCATGCCCGAGAACTGGCGAGCGAAGGGCAAAAGCTCAAAACGACTGGTTGGGTCGTTACAGACTGTATGGCATTTGGTAATTAGCGGCTTCAGACATACAATCAATTAAGTTATTATCACAAGCTAGCAATCCCCTTTTTTGAGGATTCTCTAAATGTGTTGCAATGCTTTCCATTTACAATTTTGATATCTTTGTATGATTTTGGGCCTCTTATGTTCATCAATAATAAGTGAAGATAGTATATTTCCCCTTCTGTTGGATGACATGTGACAATACATCCAATAGCATAACTTTGTTGTCTTGGTGACCACATTTTATCACTCACTGACCATATGAAGTGTTCTGGAAATTCTATGTACAATAACTGAAGCTCTTTAGCGCTCTTATTTGTTTCATTCATTGTAAAGAATTCTGTTAACATTATTTTCTTAATTGCATGATTATTTAAAATTGTGTTTAGACTTGAAGTTGTCTTAAAGGAGACAAATTGTTGATTCTCAAGATTTAGTTGAAGATGGTAGACATTGGGAGTCATTTCACTGATAGGAAAGGCAAACAAACTTCACATAGCCTCCGGTGCTGACACCCATCTACCAGATCTATATTATCTGATGTCATCAATTTCTATATTGGTATCATTATTATATACGTTGAAAGCAATTTTATCATGCCCTTTACAAATGTACTTGTAGATATATTTAACAGCTTTAACATCCGAGCAAATTTCAACATTTATGTGATAATTAAACTTGCTCAGTAGATATGGGTTGTAAGGAACAACCCATGAATTATCAAGATATTGGCTTCTAACTTTGATAAATTTTCCAGTATCTCGCCTTCTGTAAATTGGATATGAATTCTTACCTTTATATGTTTCGTTGGCATAATCTCTGGGATATTTAAATTTACATTGTCTCATATTTTTCATGTATGGACTTGTAGGATTTAAACTTCCACAAGGACCATGCATCATATGCTTAACAACCAAAGAATGTAAATAACTATTTGTATTACCATCTAGTAGTTCGGCATAAACAACTTTATCATAAGCCTCAGGTGTCAATAATTTATACTCGTCAGCAAGTATAATAAGGAAATGAGCGTGAGGAAGACCTCGTTTTTGGAATTCTATGGTGTACATAAAAGCAGCGACTTTTCCAAATATACTCTTTTTAACTATATCTGACTTAAGCTCTTTTACCTTTGCTTTAAATACACGACTCACTAAATCTGTTCTGTTTTGTACTTCATCAGTTGGAAGTAAGAAATCTTCTATCTCTAGCCATGTAGGATTACATGTCAAAGTTAGAAAGATATCAAGTTTTCCAAAGTGTTCTACCAACGTAATGGCATCCAGATATCGGTGCCGCATATCTCTTGGACCTCCAGTAAAGCTAACAGGAAGGAGTGTTTTTTTGCCAATATTTGAAGCTTCTCTTTCGCCTAATCTTAGAAGATCAGTAAGTCTTTCTAATACCTCAATTCAAAATAATTCTTGATTGAATAGGAAAAAGTCTAATCTCTGTATTTCGAGTTTTATATATTCATCTACAGAATATTGTTGGAATAATCTTCCAGAATGTAAAATTCCATTTTCTTCATCATCTCTAATTTGAAGTTTGTAGCAGTAATATTCTCAGCAGGAAACAATATTTTTTTTCTTCCTTTCTTTTTTCAAGATTTCTTGTTCTATATTAAGTAGTCCATCAATTGAACACATATTAGTTACACTTGGAAGTTGCTCATGTTTGCAGGAAGCACGAGGCGTAGGAGAGCTAGTTTTTTGTTGAACCCTTTGGATGCCGCAATGCCATCCGTTTTCACCGTAGGGAAATAACAAAGCATATTGTAATGGGTCGTTGTAGCCATAGTAATAGTGAACCAGTTGGTTACTGTTACTATGGGTGTAGATATGAATATAGGGTGTAGATAAAGAACATTCCAATTCTTTATCAACCCATATAGCTGCGACTTCTGATATGCTAGGTAAATTATATGTTCGTTGGTCCAAGGTAGAATCACACTTAAGTGCGATGTAGAAGTTAGATAAATCTGGAATGTCTGTCAAAGATTTCAGAAAGATAGAGTATGTATTAATTTTTAGAATGTTCATCAATTTTGCAATAACCGACCTGTCAAGTTTTTCTGAGAATGCCATCTTGTTAACTATATCATCATCATTGTCATAAATAAAGCTGCAAATTTTTGGCTTTGTTATCTCTGGGGGTGAGGTTATTTATAAAATGGTACATTTATCCTTGAACTCTAAAGGTATAGACACCTTGAGTTCTTTTGTAACGACTCAACCTATCGTTTTGAGCATTTGCACTTCGCTCGGTAGTTTGGGGGCACGAGTAGCTTAGTATAATGTATTAGGACTTGTGTGGGAAATTTAGGTTCATTCCAAGTTGATTTGATATGTTTTGGCGTGAGTTTTTGGAAGTCAAAAGTTTGAAAGTTCATTAAGTTTGATTTGAGATGCATTTAGTCGTTTCGATATTGCTATGTGTGTTTTGAGGCCTCGAGTAGGTCTGTATTATGATATAAAACTTTTTAGTATGTTTAGACGGGGTCTCGAGGGGCTCAGGTGAGTTTCGGAGAAGTTTGATTTGTGTTGCGCTCGTTTTTTTTATATTTCGATGTCGTTTCTTCAAGCATAAATGGTACCACATTGAACAAGTGAGATCCGATTTCTATTTTTATTGAAGCATTAGATTTGTATCATAATTACGGAGCCATATAAAAAGAATCGTCAAATTTAGACATCGTATGAGGATTTTATGGTCATTTTACTAAGAATTAGGTTGCCAGCTTTTTCAGATTAATTACGAAATTGCCACTGCTATGTATTTAAAAATCTGCACTATTTTCAAATATTGAAACCAACATATCTCCTTTAATATAAGGTCAAATGGAGTGATTCAAGAGCCTAACTTGACTAGAATTTCATAAGGAATCTATTGGTGGTATCAAAAGTGAGTTACGAGATTTGTTTGGTATAAGAAATGAGGCTGAACAATGTTAAAATGAGGTTTTTATGCATTTAACATATTTTGCGTTGGGGAGCTCGGAATAGGGTAATTTTTTGAGGCGCTTTTCAGCATATGAATTGGGGTAAGTGTTCTCTACTAGGTTTGGTTATATATCATGAATCTATCTTCGATTTTAGCTTTTGGTAGATGAATTTTAAAGAAGAAATTGGCGAGTTTTGGCCTAAAGTTTTATAATATGAATTTTTGAGTTTTGAATACCGATTCATAGTCGTATTTGAGTGAAACTAGTATGTTGAACTCGTAATTGAATGGGTTGACGTATTTTGTGAGTTTTGTCACGTTTTGAGGTGCGGGCCCGGGTTGGGATTTTTGGCCAATTTTGAGCTTTTGATAAAAGATTCAACCTTTTTCGATTGGGATTGGTTTCTTTAGCATTGTTTGATGTATTTGAGTTGTTTTTGATTAGTT